ATTAATTACAAATTTTTTGTAAAAAATCATACGCATCTAAGCGCAGTCTTGCATAGGTTAAATAGATTTTAAAATTATAAAAAAACAAGTAATTAATTGATATTAAATTTGTTTCGTGATCATTATCACCAGTGAAATTATGAAAATAAAATAGGCCATAGCAGCTGTTCTATATTTGTATAGGGTTTTTAAAATAAACATTTTTAATGACATACTTTTAATTTTGTAACGCATAATATGACCTATAAATATTACGAAGAAATTAGTTCAATATTATATTTACGTGACTTCGTGAGTAACTAGAACTTTGGATTGACTGCATCAATCTCTAATTTCGTTAAATAAAAAATAAATACACGTGCAGATTTAAGATTTTATACTTCAATTAACTTAGTTTATTCAATTTAATAGTTCATTAATATTTCTAGTATTTATTATTATTTGTTTATTAGTTTATTCAATTATAAATGGAAATTAAAAAATATTGAACTTAAATTTAATTTTCTTTAAATAAATTTTTCAAGATAGGATTTATTAAACCACGTTTTAATGGTTCAGCAATGGAGTGTTGTTTATATTTGTTCTTATGAAATCACCACTCAATTTGGTACAATTGTGAGTTGAAGTTAGAGAACGTTTATTGTAAATCAATATAGATTGAATATTTTATTGGTTTTTTTAGATTGTTCAAAAATGTCTGGAAAATCATGAAAACCATTTCAATATATAGATTAATAATAGCATACCTATCTGRAGACTGATGATAATCGATTGAAGTTTTTTTTAGTAATTTATTCAGAAAATTATAATCATATAGAATTTAAATTTTCATTTTTATAATATTATTGTATAAAATAAATATATATTTTAAATTATAGACTCGGAAAGAAGACAAGAACTTGAAAAATGTTGACATAATTATTGTGCAACAATTTACAATTTATTACCAAGATCCTAAAATATAATAATAAAGATGTCGTTGTAATTTTTAACTGTTACTGAAATATTAAATGTATTGGATAACATTCTTCATATTTTTATAGTAACTATTTTTAAATAAATAGTACCACTACACACAATACACCAATACCTTGCGTCTGATTTTTTTTAATGGTTTGGTTTGTTCTGTAGTATTATGTTTAAATTTATTCCTTATTGTTTTAGTACCAATGTATAACTAGGAAGTTTTCTAATGAATGAAGAACTGGCCTTGAGCCAACCTTATTATTTTGTAATAATATGTGCCCATAGATAAATAGACCAACGAATCGTCATAACATCTGCATTCTGCAAAAGCAGGACAAGTAAATTATTCCCACAAGTTTAATTATATTTAATTTATATTAACTTACATACATATTCGATGTTTCTATGACATAATATGAATATCATAGACATTTTTTTGTAGATCAAGAAATTAGTTGTAGATTTAAGTTGTTTATAACTTATAAGATATCCATACAAATTACAAAATATAACTTATAATAGGTACCTTGTAACTAAAATACCTCTATAATATTGTCATTGGTGTGCAGAATATCATAAAGTAGGAAGACGTACATTCTAAAACGACTGACCTTTTTGCCTAATATGATCAAAAATGTGAAGAAAAAACAAACACACTGATACCTTCACTGCATTTATGGTATTGTGGGTTCGAATATCCTTCATACTTATTAATATTTTGGACGTAATCCAATATGAATCTATTCTGCATTTGTAGCCTGCAGCAGGACCGTATGGAATAGTCTTTATTTATTCTGTTCTCTTTGTTTTCGTTATTCGACAATATATTTGTACACATAACTAGTGTGAAATTTTTGTCGAAGGGTGTGTTCTCTTAATATACCAAATATATTATAGACATTAATGGTTCATTATAAAAATAAGATGAATATATTATACAGGTATAGTAGTTCTAAATTATGTAAATGGCTATTGTTTAAAAATGACTCGTCGAAAACATCGTGTGCAGAGCAGACAAACATGTCGCAGTGAGCATGTGTATACCCTACCTACCAATTATATTATATAGCTACCTATCTCGAGTAAAATACAACGACGATGACGACGCTGTAATGATAATATATGTATTATGCCTAAATACAGTGTTTGGCATTGATGACGCTTTATGAAATTCCATCGCTCAATAACAATTATGTAGGTACACCAATGTTGACATTTCTGTTTGGTGTTAACGCATAAAAAAAAAAAAATGCTATAATAATAATAATAATTATTAGCAATAATATTATGACTGACGTTTACAGGACTTTTGTTTTTTTTTTTTTTTAATGATTTAGTAATGCATGAACAATTCCTATGCTTAAGTGACGCACATTAAATGGAATTTAACACCCCAATAATCTGACAACTATGGCTACTACCCTTCTCATTACCATTTAACATGACACTGAAGAATTATAAATAATTAYCGTTTATAGTCGCAAAAGCGATTAGACATCACTAAATCACTATATTTTTGCAGCTCAACCAACTATTATTAACGATAATTGTACATCAAATTTTGGACTTTTCGCGTGCAGTTATCAGTTTATCACTAATTTGAGTTTATTGTACCACCTAACCGCCGACACAATGATGATGATAAATCGTTTGACATCGTCATGCTAAACAATCTTATTAATAATGATGATAATAATAATGTATAATTATTATAATTATTATATAGACAGTAAATTATATATTATATTATTATTTATTATGAGTAACAAAAACGTGACTACAGTTTTAAACATGTATAGGTATGCCAGCTGGTATGCCTGTGCACCTCCTGACATGTTATAACTGGGTTCTAAAAARTTAGACCCGTTTTTTTTGTTATTACCAAATAAATTTGATTTTTTTCTTAAACACGCCAATAAATAAAATTAACAACATGTATATGTACAACATTTTATATTTGCGTATACTATCGTTATAATATAGGAGTACCTACCACCTAACATGATGTTATAGTAACATCGCTTAATACCATTGATTATAGAATAGAATAATAGAATATTCTATAATCAATGTTAATACCGTTAAAGATATTTAATTCTACTAGGTATTTACAGAACAATAATATTAACGGTTTAAAATTTCGAAAATGTTGATTTAGATCTAACTGAAAATGTAAGATGGTAGGTAAGGCTCTAGTCATTATATATAATATAATTGTCATTGTCATTGATATTATTATTATTTAGGAAGTTTAGATATACACTGTAGCTTGTAGGTATCATTATAACAATATATACATTCGTAAATAACAAAAAATAACAATTTCTTTACGTTATACTCGTCTAGGGGAGGGGACAACTAAAGAAGGGGGCTAAAAATATAGATTCCGTCTGCAGAAGTATAGCTCTGCGGACGACCATTGCAGATTGTAT